TCCTTGAGGGGGCCATTTGGGGATTGGTCCTGCTTTGAGCAGGGGGTTGGACTAGATGACCTCCTGAGGTCCCTTCCATCCCTGAGATTCTATGAATGATATGAGGAAGGAAGGTCTAATGGCTAGGGTGCTAGCCTAGGACTTCAGAGACCCAGTCCAACTCCCTGCTGAATTCCCTTTTTTGGGGGTTCTATCCAGCAAGGTTCTGAGTACTTGCAAAAGGTGCAGAGCGCTCTCAGGTCCCCTTAAAGTCAATGGGAGCGGAGAGAAATCAGCACCTGCCATCAGGACCAGGCCCTTTATGAAATGGACAGCGTCCTATGACCATAAAGCTGTCCCTTGACGCCACGCACAGAGAACATGCTTAGGGCAGCACGGCGCATGCTTTGGCTGGATGCACCTGCACACACCTATAGAGCCAGACGTGCTCCTCAGCAGTACGCCCAGCGTGGGCAGGTTCAGTGTAGTAGGCAGATGTATAGAGCCACCCTGCCCCAGGGAAGGTTGGTGCACGTCTGAGCAGCCTGGTGTGCAGGGGGACTGTGCAGTTTGCTCTTCGCCCTGCCCCCTTTGGGGTGTCATCCTGGATCACACAGAGGGAACAGTCCCAATTCTGTCCCAAGTGCAGAGGCTGCAATTGCCCTGGCTGCTGTGCAGAGCGTGTAAGGTGGGGAGAGAATTTATGTTGCTCTCTCTGAAAACCCATGCAAGGGCCATGACAATCTGGCCCTGTATGACCACAGAGTGACGGTGCTATCTCAGGGTCTGCTGGCAGGATAAATGGCCTGCCACAAACACACCCCTCTGGGCCACACAGGAGTCCCCTGGAAGATGCATGGCATGGATGTCCTGTCACAGGCTATACACTTGCCATCTGTCTCAGGAATCTATTAGGCACCTATTGCCATAGCGTCCAATCCTGCCTCGCAGAAAGCACTAAATAAATTCAACAGCTGTGCCGGCAACAGCATTTAAACCGACCTGCCGACAGGCAGATTTCAGAGCAGAGACGTACGAGCGGAAGATGGTCTAGTGCCAACTCAGACAGCTACGAGCAGACACCCCTAGGACAGCGTCTCTCCTTTCCATTCCCCCCCCCCTACAATAACAGCGCGACTCACTCTGCACACAAAAGAACAAAGCTAAAGGGCTCACGTTCGCTTTCCTTGGAGCCTTCACAAACACCCTCAGACTCTTCAGAGAAGGGCTAAGGTCCAAGTGCTCCACCGCTCGGTCCAAGTCTTCCTGGGATTTCAGTGGGATCAGGAGCTGGAAGGGATTGAACAAACACCCGTAGCACGGCAGGGTCACAAACTGGGTAAATAAAGGAAGCAAAAACTTCGCACCGCGCACAGAAGGCTTGGGAGGGAATGGAGAGTCTGGATGGAAATCAAAACCCAAGCACCCCTGAGCATTCAGGGGCTTTAACCTTTTCTTTCAAGATATGATCCATGGAGGAACAGGATAAAATTACAATAACAATGCTCGCAAAGAACAAAGAACGCGTGAAAGCCGCATCAATGATCCAGCCAGTGGGAAGGCCAGAGAGCTAAGAACAAAGCTTACCAGTCGTCTGTGGCTCCAAACTACTGGCATTACAGAGACCCCTGGCTGTTAGGGGTGATCTTCCTGGATCCCCTTCTCTATGAGTCATTGGACCCCCATATGCTTCTGACACTCATCTTCAAGTCAACTGTGCACATGCTAACCAGCTACAGAGCTTGGGCTGCTCATGGGGACAAAGCTATGGGTGGATGCTGCTCAATCATAGTGATCTAAGGCCTTGTCTACACTGGGCAATTCTTCACCAGTGATGGCAAAGTAGCTGCATCGGTACAAAACCCCACGTATATACAGGTACAGCTAATATCAACTGCAATCCGCACCAACACAGCTTACGCTGGTCTCAAGCGGGTATCAACTGGACAGATACAAATTCAGATTATATCATCCTAGCCTGTGCACACTAAGGGTTTGCACTGGTGCAGCTACCCTTGCGGCTGGGCACCAATGGGAACAACCAGGGCAAATCCCCCGTGTAGACCAGGCCTAGCTCCTACATTTGAAATACACCTCTACTCCGATGTAACCCAACCCGATAGAACATGAATTCGGATATAACGCGGTAAAGCAGCGCTCCGGGGAGACGGGGCTGCGCACTCTGGCGGATCAAAGCAAGTTCGATATAACGCGGTTTCACCTATAATGCGGTAAGATTTTTTGGCTCCCAAGGACAGCGTTATATCAGGGTAGAGGTGTATGAAAATACCTCTCCTCACCAGAGCCACGGGTTCAGCTCCCATTAGGCTCCATTTAGCCTTTCAGCTGAAGCAAACCCACCAAGTTTGCTGTGGGCAAGACAAAGCCCTGTCTGTCTGTGTGACAAAGCTACAGGGCCCATGTTTGTTTGTTTTGGTAGGAGCCTGGATTTACCCTGGTGTCTTTAACCAAAATGTCTGCTCTCTCACAGTGCTATGTGGAGTGTCATGCTTTGCACGTCAGCTGCTACCCTCCAACCCCTAAGTAGCTGCATTTCAGAGGTGCCTGGTTACTGCCCCTTTCTGTTACCCTGGACCAAGGCTAAACATCTACTTCCCCCAGCCTGGGCGTGCTCCACGTAAGAGCAGTGAGCACAATGGCTACCTCCATCTCCTGTAGGCTGCCCGGGGGACTGGCACTGAATTCCTCAAACAGACCACACCTTGAGTCTATGCAAGGTGAACAGCAGCTCAGCCTTCCAGAGATGCAGCGCACCTATGGCTCCCAGTAACTTCCTGTTGACTTTAGTGGGAACTGCAGGTGCCCAGCACCTCTAAAACAGTCGGGCCAATTGTTCATGTGATCACAGATCACCACCTAGGCAGCCACAGCAACGAACAACACCAGGTCAGATCAAAACCCACCCAGCAAAATGTTAGGAAAAACCACTTATGGCTCCCCACTGGAGACTGCACCTTATGTACTGTTGCCTTGGGGGTCTGGCCTGGCCCACAGGTAAATACATCACTGATTGTACGCATGCAGTCTGGGATAAAGGCGGTAGAGCACACACAGGTGAATGGGAAGCTGTAGGCACTGGCCAATACAGCTGAGATCTCAGTCTGGGAAATTGCTAGGGTTGCGGCAAGAGGCCAAGAACCACAGCTTTGCTGCGTACGTATCTATCTTAGGTACTTACATGGCCCTCGTTACCATAGTACAGATGGGGAACTGAATCACAGAGAGGCTAAGAGCCAGATTTTTAGAGGTATTTAGGCATCTAATTCCCATTAAAAATCTAGGCCTAAATGACTTGCCCAAGGTCACACAGGAAGTTTGTGATAGAGCAAGGAACCAAACCCAGATATTCCACATTCCAGGCTTGTGCTCTAACCCCTGGACCATCATTCCTTACCGATTCTAGCTGGGATGGATAGATCCCTCCAATACAGTGCTTAACCTCACGGAAGTCAATGGGAATTCTGCATGTGTGCCAAGTGGAAAAGCTACCCATAGTTTCTTGTAATCCCAAAACACTGATTATAATAAAGCCAAATCCTGTTCTCAGTTGTGGGTGCATGCAGGTTTAGTGACTTCAGTGCAGCTGTGTAGGAGCAGAATCTAAGTCACTTCTGCTTTATAATGCTTGAGGCTGCCTCATTGCAAAATGCACAGGGTAACGTTCCATCCTTACACCCTCCTGGTTTCCTCCAAGAGTGGAATTTGGCCCTGAACCCATCGGGTAATTCCATAACCCCCCTTCACCCAGCTCCTCACATATTTTCCTAACTGCATTCCCTCGGCCACTGCTTTGAACAAAATGTTCTGCAGGTCACTGTGTCTCCTTCCATTACCACATCATTAATCCATTCACAGCCAGCCTGGGGACGCCAAAAGCATCAAGCTGAAATTGCCCTCCTCTGGAACAGAGTGAATGCAGTATTTAGCTTGGCTTTACCGATCACCCATATCTGGCGAGTGGATTTTGCTCCATTTGGCATCCAGGCTGCTGTATACATAGATTCTGGGAACAGGGTTCTACGAGACACTAAATATAGCCCCACACGCGCACGCACACAGCCTAGGCACTAACTGGCAGGTTGCACGCTCCGTAACCGGGCTGCAGCTTTGTTTCTTCTGTCTATAAACGGAGTAACTCCGATGACAGGTAGGAAAGTGAGGGAAACATCACTGAGTGACGTTTACGAGCTTGCAAGTCCTCCCTTCTGCACTCGTGGATGGCATGCCTTATTATCTACTGTGGGGGCTACTGGCTAATCCACTGCACCTTACACAGATCTAAAAAAAATAAATGAAAAGGGGTGAGACTATTTACTTATTACTTATACTACAGTAGCACCTTGGGACCTTATTGTGCAAAGTGCAGTATACACACACACACGGGGACAGACCGTCCTTGCCCCAATTTAAATAGAGGAGACATACAAAAGGGGATCACAGTGGAAACAGTGGCACAGTGAGGTGAAGCAATTTGCCCAAGGTCACACAACAGGACGGTGGCAGAGCCAGGAACAGAACCCACGTGAAATGCGGCCACCTCTGGTGAGGAATGAAGCAACTGTTTAACAATGCTCAGGGATGTCACAGCTCAGATGAGGATAGACTACTGCATCCAGCTGAAACCACGGGGGGGAATTCAGACAGAACGTTCTCATCCAACTCAGAGTTCAGCCAGGATAACGTCCCTATCCTGGTAAAAAAGGCCAGTCAATGGCCACAGACGTGGCTTCTGCATCTCATCTGACCGATGGCATTTCCAGTAACACAACACTCTTTAGCACTACGTTGGGATCAGCCCCACATGGGGTTAGACCCACACACCACTCTGCATGCATTGGGCCAACCCCTCTGATGAATCTGTAGCACTCCCAGAGCAATCCCATTGATTTCATTGCACCTGTGTCCACAGGCCTTTCAAAGGGATACACAGCTCCAAAGCAGCCTGCTTGTCCCATTTACCTATTATGTCTTGTAATTGTGATTGAACAGTGCTTAGCACGACAAAGGCCAACCTGTTTTTGGCCTTTAGATGCTACCACAATACAAACATTAAATACTAACATCTAATAAAGGCAAGGTTCTGTCTGTGTATGAAGAAAAGGCCAAAGGCTGCTCAAAATGGAGTGGAGTTACTCTAGATTTACACTGGTGTAATTGAGAACAACATTTGGACCAGAATACACTATTAGCCCAAACATGGTGTGCCGTGGACAGCCTCTCTGTAAGTTCTGTTTCATTGGTTGATACTATTTCCATGACAATGCTCTCGGATGCATAATGCCCTGTATATCAATGGGTGCAGATTCTCACACACAGAGACTATTTACAGAAAGAAAAAGAAAATCTAAGCCCATTCTTACGCTTATAATTATTTATTAGTTCTAAGGTAGCAGCACCCTGTGGCCTACTCAGGATCACGCTAGGCGCTATGCAAATGCACAGGCAGGCATTCCCTAGCAGAGGGTACAGTATATTACATAAACTTCTATTTGTCTTGTTGGAAGAGTCTTTCAGTGGAAAGGAACCTGGAATGAAGTGACTCACTCCTGGAGAATTCCATGCAGGCTTTTTCCAGCAGGGACTATCAGAGAATGCCCAAGATTAGAAAATGTGTAACATTTCTGGCTACATTCAAAGCTGCAGCCTAGAGGGCCAATTCTGCCGTAGTGTTAGACATTTATCGAGAGCAACAGCAGCAGCATCGCTTGCAGAATCTGAACATGCAAAACCCAGGTGGCATGGCAAGTTCAAATGGGTTCTGCACACGTCTGTTCTGTTATCTGACCACAAAAATCGCATACACAAGTCATTTATGCATGTAAAACTGTGCCTATGCAAATAGAATCCTGGCAGAAATCCCATCAAAGACATGGCCCTACACAATGGGGGGTTTCTATTTGTTGGTCCAATCTCACGCTGCAAAAAAACGGAGGAAATGTGTTTTTCATTTGTACTTTAATTAAGGCCCCTAATGATTGTTTTATACATGAGCAAGCAGGCTGCGGGTTTCTTTTGCTTTCCATTTCAAGCCAATGGGATGTGAATCAGACTGTCTAGTGGAGCTGGTTGTTTTTTATATTCTTGCAGAAAGTTTCCATGAAAACAAAACTTTTAGGTCAACTTTTTCTTCACAAGTTTTTGGGGTTTCGTCAAAAAAACTGGAAACGCCCAAAGTTTTCAGGGTTCAGTTTTTCCAACAGAATCCTGAAAACTTTCATTGAAATTGGTCATTTACCACAGATTTTTTTTTAAACTAAAAGGCAATTTTCCATCAAAATAAAGGTTTGAACAAAAATTCTGACCAACTCCACTATGCCAGCAGGGCAGATTGCCTTAAGCACAAACCACCAGGGTCTGGGACTGTATCATCAACCCCACGGTCTGATCCTGCCTTCAACAGTGGGACCAGATGGGAAGGCAACTCATAGCCTGCCCCTTCTGAGCTCTTGGTAGGGACCCTGCAAATCATGGTATGCAATGGTATGTAAATAATGCCCTGATATGCAGGACTGCAGATGACAAGACGATCATGGTTAAGGCTACGATTTAGTCATGGGTATTTTTTGTAGAAGTCATGGACAGGTCATGGGCAATAAACAAAATATCCCAGCCTGTGACCTGTCAGTGACTTATACTAAAAAATACCCCCTGACTAAATCTTGGGGGGGGGGGGGAACGACGTGCTGGGGGCGACCTGGGGGCCACTGCTGGGCGGGGACTTGGGGGGTGCACCCGAGGGCCGCTGCTGGGGGGCGGGCTGGGTCCAGCAGCTCCGGTCTTCTCTGGGACCGCTGCTCAGGCCACTTCTCAGGTGGTCCCCGGGGCTAGCTGGGCAGCAGCCGAGCGGCTGGCCCCGGAGCTGCTCCAGCTGCGGCTGGCTGCGGGGCCGCCCAAGCTGGTTGCAGAGCTGCTCCGGAAGAGGCTGGTGTGACTGTCCCCAGGGACAGCTGCTTGGGCAGCCCCGGGGTCGGCCACACCGGCCGCCGCCGAAGTCACAGCGGTCCTGGAACGTCACCTAATCTGTGACAAACGCAGAGCCCTCATCCTGGCACGTTCAGTGCTTAATTTGTGCCAACGCTAGCCAGGCCTGAGCCCCAGCACTTCTAGGCTTGGCCGTTCGTAGCCCTGGCACCTCGGGGGCTTGCCGCATCTGTTATGAAAGTTAAAAAAAAAAATTGCTTGAGCCCTGGCACCAGTTTTGTTACAAATTCAGCACTGGATCCATTCCCTCAGTCCTTAAAAGTCCATGAATCCACACACTGGTGGCTAAGGATGATTGGGCTGATGCTTGCCTTGGGCTGGAGCGTCTGCCACAGAAACACACAGTGGGGAGTGCTCAGTTCTAATGATAAGCATGGCTTGGAGCTGGGATGCGACATTAAAATGAATTCAGTGCTGGCACTGGAGGGCATTAGGGCACACTTACCCACTGAACTAGCACAGCACAAGGGGTGAAAGTACAAGCTTCCCTACCACTCCCGCTGTCACGGCGTGGGTTCAAGTCAGCCCGGATCAGCAATGACCTCAAATCAATCCCATCTGATGCCCCTTCAGTAGAGCATATGAAACTAGTTTGTTGCTTCAGCCCGGTTCCTAGTGAGAAGCCCACATTGCAGCCTCGAAAAAAGTGGGTATTCGCTGGCAGCCTCGGTTAATACATTACAGACAAATAATGTTTGTTGGCAGCCTCAGCAGAAACCCCTGGGATTCAGTGAACCAACCACTCCTACAGCTGCCCCTATCAAACCAGGCGCTTTGGTGGAGAAGGCTGTACTGCTGCTGATTGTGCTGTCCCCGTCCTGTAGATAAGCAGAGGACTTAGTTCTCCAAAGCAGTCAGTCAGTTAAGTTCTGGGTTTTGTGGGCCCTCTGAGGGGGTGGACCCTTTGTTCTGGGTCTCCACCCACCACCCCATACCTGTACTAAAGTCGCTTTGAGAGAGCCCAGTTAGCTACTGCTCCCTGTTTCGGTATCTAGACAGTTCAGGCAGGGTCTTAACACAGAGCTATTGCATGCTAAGTAGGACAGAAAACATCAGGAAGGATTGTCCTCTTCCCCATCAGTATGTGCTGTCCCCAAATTAGAGGATTAGGAATAAACCACTGTTTAAATCTGAAACTGGGATCCGGCCAGGCTGTAAACACAAACAGCTTAGTACCTCATTGTTTGCATAGTGCAAATCCATCATCTGTCCAAAAGCATCCATGACTTTCTGTAGCACTTCTTTGAATTTGACCGGCCTTGGAAACTGGAGAATCCTGTACATACATACAGAAAATGAACAGCACAAGTGTCACGTGGGTACATGGGTGCCAGGGTATTGGATTAAATGGCCAACTTTTTGGAGCAAGGACCTGTATTCTTATCCCATAAGTGCCATGTTAATAAGTAACAGTGATCAATAACATGGGGTCGTTCATGGCAGTGAGCCCACAAGTAGCTTCCCTTCCCCCACACAACAGCTACAGGTGGCTGGGGAGCCCAGACCCTGCTCTTTGCTAATATGGTGCTAGCTGCCTGTGGTGCCCAGGAGGAATTCTGGCGGACCCCACCCAGATCCTTCTGAAGCTTCCAGCTGCGGCCTAATCCCTCTGCCCTCTCTATGGTGTACAGGTGCTACAACCAGCAGGATCTAACCCAGCAGCACATCACCTAGATTTAGCAGAGGTGCCACCCACGGGGCATTGGCCAGTTTTCTTTGTGATCTGCCATCTCCGTGACTATGAAGAGCAGTACTGAACTGCAGAAGAGGGTTTGATTTTACACGGTGAATCATACGCCAGCCCACCTTCAGACGCAAGCGCCCATTGACTTCAGACAAGTTGCATATCTGAGGGCAGGATTTGACCCCCTGTACTATGTGTGTATTATCTAAGCATCTTGGTTTGTTGTTAAAACTACGATTTAGTCACGGGTATTTTTAGTAAAAGTCATGGACAGCTCACGGGCAATAAACAAAAATTCACGCCCGTTACCATGACTTATACTAAAAACACCCTTGACTAAATCGGGGGAGGGGGTGTGCTGTTGAGGGGGTAGCTGGGGGGGAATGCTTTTGGGGGGGGGCCGCCCCAGGGGGCCACTGCTGGGGACCGCTGGAGCAGTGGCTGCTCTGGCCGCCCCAGGGACTGCTGCTCGGGCAGTCCACGGAGCCAGCCACACCGCCCGAGCAGCGGCCGGTGTAGCTGGCTACAGGACTGCCTGAGCAGCTGGCTGCTCCAGCAATGGCCGGCGTGGCTGTCCCCAGGGCTATCTGCTTGGGCAGCCCTGAGGTCAGCCACACTGGCCACTGCAGAAGTCACGGAAGTTGCAGAAAGTCACGGATTCCATGACTTCCACGACCTCCGTGACAGGCACGGAGCCCTATTCATAGCGCACTAGTTATTATGCATCTTAGCCTGAGAGATCCTGACTCTCCAAAGTGTCCTGCTCTGCCACTGGACCCTCCAACAAGCTGAGAGCCTTCCACATAAATGTCAAGCAGGGAGGGCAGGCAGCCTTCAAATCACAGCTCTGTTATTATGGGACCTGTGCCCAGAATCTTGTTATCTCAAGTAAGTGCCACAGGCTACTAATCGAAGAATACACTCATGTGGGAGGCCTGAAGTCCAGCTAAATTCACCAGGGTTTGAGAATAAAGCTACTGGTGAGTGGCATTTAATGAATCACAGTTGGGAACTAATCGGCCTGTTCACTAGTCCCAGGAAATACTTATGGCTGAATTCACAGGCCTCTCCCATGCCAAGCTCTCATTGCTTTCAATGGGAGTTACAACTGCAGGTGAGGGCGAGCCAGGGCCCTTTGCCCCCCCTGCACCAAGGGAAATGCGGAAACGGGTCAGGAACGCACCTTTTCTCTCCATCATATTCAAACTTGATCCTGGCATTCCGCTGCTGAAAGAGAGGAAATCAGTTAGCTCCCCAGATCCTGTGAGTCTAATTGAAATGGATCTGACCCAAAGCCCGCTGCAGTTATTGGAAAGGCTCCCACTAACTTCAGTGGTCTTTAGATCAGGTCCATTTAGGGCCACAATGCCTTCTGATTGTAAACTCAATAGAAGCCAAGTGTATGAATGGGAGCTCTGCGCTCACCTACCTGAGAACTGTACTTGGCCCATAATGTGATAAAAATAAACTTCTGCATAAATAAGTGGCACCTCCACTGACCGTTAACTACTCACCCTTTAAAGCTACATCACTGATAAACTTAGTCTAACAACAGCTTACATTTATATAGGGTGAAATTTGCAAAAGCGCTTACATGACTTTGGCGGTGAAATCCCATTTTCAAAAGTGACTTAAGCCTGATTGAAAGTAAATGGGACTTCAGCTCCTAAGTCATTCAAAAAAAGAAGAACAGGAGTACTTGTGGCACCTTAGAGACTAACAAATTTATTAGAGCATAAGCTTTCGTGGACTACAGCCCACTTCTTCGGATACAGAAGTGGGCTGTA